TTGATAAACTTTATAAAGATGAATTTGGTTGTTTAATATAATGGAAGTAGTAGTTTAATATTTTTTATAGATGATTTTGATCAAGTCTATATATTGGTTTAAAGATCAAATGTAAATTTTTTATTTTTATTTTTTAAAATTAAATCACTAAAGTATTATTTTATTTTATTTTATTTTTCCATATTTTGGAGCACATCAAAACCTTATTCTTTTAAAAAAAATCAATTCTTCTAAAAAAAATTCTTTGATATAGCTAAAAAAGCCTTAAGTTGATAATTTAAGGTATCTTAATGTTACAATCTTTCTGCTACAATTTAAAACCATATTGTTCAATTCTTGCTTCAAACTTAGATTGTAATATTTTTACTAGATACCACAATTTTAGTACAAAAGAATTGATATTTTAGTGCTAATCGTGCCCACTTGTTGTTTTTCTCAACTCATGGTTTTATATCCATTGGTTCTTTGTTGTTCATAGTGCTTATTCTTTTCTTCAAGCATGTTCTTGAATACTCCTATTTCTACAATTGCCAAATACTATATTGAGATGCATGATTACTACAAATCAATTCTTGTGAGCACAACATAATTTTGTCAAATAAGCTTTGACAACAGCAGTTACTAGGTTTTTGTTTTGTTTTTTGTTTTTTTGTTTTTTTGTTTTTTTTTTAATAAAAAATTATAATTAAAAAAATATTTAAAAAATATTAAATTTTTGAAAAGAAAATTTGTAATAACTTCATAAAATTAAAGAAATTTAGATTTTATATTTAATAACTATTTTTTAGAATAATAAATTGAAATGTATGTTTTAAATAATATTATAAAGTTTTATAATAGATGTATTGATAAAATTATGTGGATTTGTATATATAATTGTATTGAATGTGTAACTTGGATTGAAGCTTAATTTATTGGCCCAATTTGAAGTTATTAATATTTGAATAAGTTATGATAGCAATAAATGAAAATTTGAGAATCAATAAGAAATAAGTTGGGATAGCTATAAATGTATTATAGAGATTCTTACAAAATTATTGAGAAAAATTATTATAGAAGAAGATCTTATAGCAAGGAATTCTACATTAAAGTTAAAAAAGGAAGTTGTATAATCAGATTTTTTTTTTTTTTTTTTTTTTTTTTTTTTTTTTTTAAATCTATAGGCACAATTCTTTTAAAATTTCTTCATATTTTTTCCAATTAGAATATTAAAATATATACGAAATTTGAAGTTGAGTTAATAATTGATAAAAAATTATAATTTTTAAAATTAATTACTTATTTATATATTTATTTATGATTGTTAGGATTTTATTAGGATTTTTTTGGATTTACTTAAAAGAATTCTTCTATTACCAAATATCTAGTGCATTTTCAAAAAAAACTTTGTATAATTCAATATTACCAAATTTAGAAAGAATCTACTTTCAATATAATAAACATACTACCAATTTAGTGATAAGTAAATGGATTATTTTATTAGATTTTGATTTTTTTTAAATAAAATAAATAATAATTCGAACCTTGATTTTAAAAAGAAATTTTATTTGTTTAACTTATGTAGAACAAAAAAGTAGTGATTAACATATAGAAGAAAAAAAACGTTAGTCCATACATTTACATTCATTGTATACTACACTCATCTTTCACAAACTTTTGATCGATTATTATAGCCTACCAAGATTGTGACAATAGTCTTATCCTTGAGTTTGTATTGTTGTTTTTTGGAAATATGGATGTATGCATAGGCATTGAAAATTACTAAGTGAGAGACTAAAAATCTGATGCCATAGAGTTTTTTTAAAAAGAATAATTCTTTTGAAAACTTTAGTACTAGATCAATTCTTTAAGTAGTTAGATGCATGGATTATCTCATTTTAAAGGTGAGTTAGAATTTTTGGTGCAATAAAAATACTTTGAGCCATTTCAATAAGCATTTTGCTTTTATTTTGTGAATGTTATTTTATTGAAGAGTTAAGCAGTAGTAAATTATTATTGAATATTATTTTGATCAAGAAAGATTATAAATATTCTAAAGAAGTTCTTGCTTCTTCTATTTGAATAAATGGCTACAATAGAAAAGTTGAGTTTATTTTCAATGTATCTTTTGAAGTACTAAAATCAAGAAAGGGTCTTGTTTTTGTAAGTGATAAAGTAGACCTAAGTATATTGGCTGAAATTATTGACGAATATAATAAAGCACATGCTCTAAGTAAGGGAAGTTATTGGAAGAGTGTTAGAGAAGTTGAAATGAATGAGTTAAAGCTAGCAAGATAAATACATAAATTAAGACTTTGAAATGGCAATGTAATAGTACTTACTAATAGCATAAGATTTACAAAAACTAGAAATGTATTGTAGTAGAGGCATTTTTGAAATAAGATTATGTATCAAAATTTGATATAATTTTTGTAGTTGGACTGACCAAGTTATCAATGCCAAAAGATTTTTAGAAACTTGGATGTTGTTGATAAGAACTTGTTGATAGAAATTGTAAAGACAGTCTGAGAGAAGGATCTTAGATTTGGATTTAGTTTGTAAAGTGAATTAAATAGATCTTAAAAGTCTTTAAAAACAATATCAAAAAAATTATGAAGATTAATGATATATTAGAATTTTAAAAATAAACACAATTATATATCCATCATCAATCAATTTTCCAATCAAGAGCAAATTGCTCTTGATAAACAATAAATAAAAAATATTAGAGACTCATTTATTATTGAAGGGATGAACATGACCAACTTTGACAATTAGAAGTTTTAATCTTCCTTATGTAGTGACATTAATCATAATTAAAGAGTATAAGAAATTGAGAGCAATGTTTATGCTAATTGATAAAGTGAGATCTAATACTATAATTGATGATCTAAGAAGAGTCTTTAATGTATGAAAGCATGGCAATTATGTTTACCTCATGTGTATTGCTACTATTGCTATACAAAGCATCGTCTTCTAAGACATTAGAAATCTATTTATTTGCAATGTAGCTTTGTTGTTTGAATTAAAGCTTTGAGTTAATGCTCTAAACTTCTTAGAGTTGTACAAGTACAAGATAACAAAACTAAAAGTGAATCTTTTTAATTTAGCAATCAACTTCATTATGACCATAGCAATTATAGTGTGAATATTGAAGAATAGTAAATGAACCAATATGGCATTTTATAGTTGTATTTATTGATTACTTAAACTTGTTGTAAGAAAGATAGGCAATAAGTGGCTTGTATTTGGTTAACACTATTAAAGATTTTTTTTGTTGATATTACTTTTTAGAAGAGATGTTTTATTTGTATAAATTTTATAAAGTATGAATATATTAGATTGAGGTTATTTTTAATAATAGTACCATGTGTGGCCTTAAATGATATCTAATCCATTAAGAATAATTTACACAAGGAGATTATCTTCAGCATCTTTATCAATATTTGCTATTTAAATAATAATTTCTTTAATTTAGAGAAGATATTCTTTTACAATTATGCATGTAGTCATTATAAAAAAAGATTATCCATTACAAATATCAACTTACCTCAATATTGCTAAAGACTCAATTTTTTTTTTGAACTTGAGCCAAAGAACAAACAAATTGGTTCTAAATTATTTAACAATAAAAACAATCTTTTTAGAAATTGTGAAAGTGATGATCATATTGGCTTTGTCTACTTTCTTTTGCACTATTTGTACCTTGATAGTGGTAGCAATAGCAATTGTGGCAATAGCAATTATCACAACTTGGTTAAAAAAAGCTCCATTGGAAATAGAGCTTGATCCATTATATTTAAAAGATAAGCTTATTGATGATGCAATAAGCATGCTAATGTCCTCAACATTATTAGCACATAAGATTTGTTCTACTATGAAAGACCAAATGGGATAGTTCTTAATTCCTACTAGCTTGCTACTCTTATAAAAGTTAAACTTAGCAAGATCCATGGTAGAATATAAAGTCTTCACATTGTGCATCTAGCTTTGGTACCAATAAGAATAAAATGTGACTCTTTATTATCTGTATTAACAAAGTCAAGTTGAAAACTCATAAGTCTCATGAATTTAAAAAAGATAAGAGATTAATTTTAATTAATCTTAACAAATTTGTAAAAGAAATTTTGATTACAATGTATCTTGGTATTTGGTGAAGTTGTGTCATCAATACAATTTAGTCATAATAGAAAATATGAAAATTAATTTTAATAAAAACAAAGAAGCAAAAATTGTAACTTTTCCACACTTTGTGGCTTATGTTTGGCACTTGAATCCCATACCAAAGCACTGGCATTCATGTGACTTCAGGAAGTTCAGAACACTACAGGAGGCATTGGAGTTTGTGGCACGTAACTGATCGAGGTTGGGCTACTTAGGTATGTGAGATGTGTCGTTTTTTTAGTTGCGTTCAGCTTACTGATCAATCGTCATCTTCTTGTAATGAGGCTGGGATCTTTCGCAGACCCGCTTCTTCTTTGTTTTTTTTTAAAAGTTGAGGTCCCAAGGGCTTCGTGAAGATATCTGCCTGTTGTTCGAGGGTCGGCTCGTAGGTGACTTTGATGCTGTTGTCTTGGTGTTTTTCCCAAATGAAATGGTGATCGAGTTCTATGTACTTTGTCCTGTTGTGCATTGCTGGATTGCATACGAGCTTAATACTACTCAAGTTATTGCACAACAAGGGTGTCGGTCCGCTATTTTTGAGCTGTAGTTCCTTGAGCAATTGTCGATAGTTTGAGATATTTTGTGCAGCTTCGGAGAGGACTTGATATTCGGCTTCAGTCGAGGACAGGGATAGCGTGGGTTGCAACTTGCTTGATCAGGCAATTGGGGTCGATCCTAGCTTGTACAAGATTCTAGAGGACGACTTGAGTGAATCTGCGTGGCCTGCCCAATCTGCATCCGCGTATGTGAGTAGGTCCCCTCGATCCTTTGCTGGGCAGAATGTGCCAAAGTCTAGAGTTCCCTTTAGGTACCTGAGAACATTCTTTGCAGCTACTAGGTGTGCCATCTGTAGTTTTTGCATAGAATGGGATAGACGTTCCATCAACATATTGAATGTCCCATCTACTGATGGTGACATATAGCAGATTTACAGCTATGAGACTTTGGTAAATTTTGGGATCTACAGCTGAAGTGTTAGTTTCCTTGGTGAGCTTGAGTTGGGGTTCATGGATATATCTAGTGGTTTACAATATGTGAGATTGAATCTTTCTAGCAGCTTTGTGATGTATTTTTGTTGATGAAAATAGATCTCTTGCTTGTAATAGTGTAATTCTACCCCTAGATACATGCGAGCATCTCCCAGGTCAGTCATCTCGATCTCTGACATCATCTTTACTTTGAGCTTTTGAATGTTCTGTTTGACATTTCCTGTGATTATGATATCATCAACGTAGAGTAATATGATAATATATTTCTCGTTTTTGATGGAGAAGGACATGTTTGGATCTTCTTGACTCCTGTGAAGGCCCAGGTTAGTTAAATATGTATCTATTCTTCCGTATCACGCTCTTGGAGCCTGTTTAAGGCCACATAGAGCCTTTTCCAGCTTGCATACCTTCCCGATGCTTCCTGATTCCTCAAACCCTGGTGGTATTGTCATGTATATCTCCTAAGAATTTTTTTCGTTTAATAAGGTTCTTTTAACATCGAGATGTTGTAGTTTCTAGTGTCTTCTGGCTGCTAGGGCTATCAAGCATCGAATGTGGATCATCGAACTACTGGAGCAAATGTTTTGAAATAATCCAAGCCATCTTCCTGTTCGAAACCTCGTGCGACGATTCGTGCTTTCAGTTTTTCAGGTTTGTCTGTGGTTCCTAATTTGGTTTTAAATATCCATTTGGCTAAGATGGGTGTGCGCCCAGCGAGTAAATCCACAAGTTTCTATGTTTGTTTTTTTCGAATGGAATGTATCTCCTGGTTTATTGCGTCTCTCTAGCCTGGTGTCTGAATTGCATCGTTGTAGCTTTGAGGCTTTAAATCCAGTTCTGCCGCAAAAGTAAAATTGTTGCGGTAGTATCTTGAGCTTGTTTTTCTATTCCTGATTAGATACCTGCGAGGTGGTTGTGCTACGGTTTCTATTTGTTGTGATACGTCGATGTATGGTTCCAATTTGGGCTACTTTTGGGTGTCGTATGTGAGCGGGTAGTTATTGCTTCTGTCGGGGTTCGGCGGCGATATCGGTGGAGCAGAAGTTCTGCGGTGCGACCTCGGAGTCGGGACTCATTGCGGTGATGTCGGCAAGTTTACTATTTTTGGAATAAGGCTGCAGTCTGTGTTATGATTGGGATTGAATACAGGTTGACCCAGGTGAGGTTCTATGATTTCTCAGCTGTCCAGTTCTGTCGGGACTTGGGGCATTCGTTCAGCAGGTAGGATCTGCGATCCGGGTCCTAGGAGTGAGTCGCTGGTCGCTGTCTGTTTAGCAGGTTCGATCTGCGATGGGGTTTGGGGAAGACGAAAGTTTTGCTTGGGGTAGAGTGCTTGGTGTGAGCATGCCCGTACCCAACTTTTGTCTCATCGAAGACGACGTCCCTGCTTAGACGGATTTTCCTGTGAGCAGGATCAAACACCTTGTAAAGTTTACTTTCTGTGTTGTATCCCAAGAAGAAGCACCTAATCGTCTTGCTTTCCAATTCCGTCCTCTGTTCTTTTGGGACATGAAGGTATGCCAGTGGAGCCAAGATCTTAAGGAAATATACTCTAGGTTTAATTCTAGTGTACCATTCTTTAGGTTTTACCCGGTAATTAGCACAAGTGGGGCTCAAGTTGATGAGGAGGTTTGCTATATTGACTAATTCAGTCCATAGAAAGCCTGGACAATTGCTGGTGGCGGCCATTGATCTGGCCCTTTTTATGATTGTTCGATTCTTGCGTTTGCTGAGGAGTGCGAGCCATTGTGAGCTCACGTTTGATCCCGTAAGTTCTGAGGTATGCAGTAAAATCTGTTGATAAGTATTCCCCTCCTCTGTCCGTCCTGAGGCAGAGGGTTTTCATGTTTGTTTCTTTTTCTACTCTTGTTCTGAATTCCTTCAATTTTGTCAAGGTTTCTAATTTGTGTTTCATAAAGTATAACCAGGTTTTACGGGAGTAATCATTCGCAAAAGCAACATAATATTGTGAACCACTCAGTGATGGAGTTCTAATAGGTCCGACTAAGTCTTAATGAATAAGTTGCAGTAGCTTGTTTGAGCGATGCGAAGATGATTTTGGGAAGCGCTCCCGATGCTGGCGGCCAGCAAAGCAATCGTGACATATCTCCTTTGTGATTAGAAGTTGAAGTAAGCCCCGTACTCTCCCTGCTGATGATAAATGTTGAAGTCCTGCGTAGTGGAGGTGTCTAAACCGCTCATGCCACAGCTGTGCTGCATTTTTTGATGTAACCACGTTACATAATTCTTCTATTTGTTTGTCAGCAAATCTGGAGAGGCCATTTGAGACTTCTCTATTATTAACTGCTAATACCGTTTTTTTTGTGTCGTTTCTTTGGACTAGGCAGCGTTTGTCTGTGAACAAGATGATGTGTCCAGTATCTGCCGAAGCTCCAACAGACATCAGATTTTGCTTTAACGCAGGAACACATAAAACGTTGCTCAAATTTATTGTTCCAGAATGTGTGGCAGCACTGGATGAGCCTATGGCATCGACTCGATGAGATTTGTCATCTGCCGTTTTGACACTCTTATCCAAGTGTCGTTGTTCTATAACATAAAACTTCCCTCTCTCTTTTCTAAAATGGTGACTAGCGCCTGAATCCATGTACCAATTCTGGTTATGATAGTTGATAAGATTGGCTTCTGCTGATAATTCTGCTTGATCAACATAACCATCACCTTTGACATAGTAGGCTGTACTAAAATCCTGGCTATTAGAGTCGGCGGGATCTTTATGTTGGGACACGGCTCCTATCAGGTTGTCTCCCACCGACATCGTTATTCCAGACTGCGCCCTTTGCTTTGAGTCTCTGTCGGACCTCTGTGGACTGTATCCCTCCTATAGTCGCCGGAAACTGGCTCGGGGGATTCTTTGTCTCTACGAGTACCCAGAGATTCTCACGTTTGAGAACCGTCTTCACCTTGAGGCTCCACACATTGTAGTTCTGTGGACCAAGTAACTTGTTGGTTTCTCCTACCTCGCAGTTTGAGGTCTTTTCTCACCTTGAGGCTCCACACGTTGTAGTTCTGTGGACCAAGTAACTTGTTGGTTTCTCCTACCTCGCAGTTTGAGGTCTTTTCTCTAGCGTCTGCCATTGCTAGTGAACTAGCTATCGGTTATGAGAGCTTTCTATTTCGTGTCTGCTCTGTACTCTAGTACAAGGGAGCAGTGCTCACCTTGGCAACTAACTACCAAAGAGCGTTTCGCTCTGATACCATGTTGACATCTGCACTCGTAACATACTCTGTGTACTCAACAGTGAAAGAGGGAGTTGTATTTGATATCAAAGGTGTATATATGCATTACAGGCTTGGGGCTCTGAGCAAGACTATTGGGTGAGGTGATACTAATTTAAGTATCATGACGTGTCAGGATGACGTCATCAAGGAAGGTGCTGGATTGATTCACCAACATGGGAGTAGGGCGCAACCATCAATTGATGAGTACAAAAAAGGAAGTCTCAGCAACAAGGAAGAGATGCATACCCTGGGATCACGATAAAGATCACTGAGATTTTCGAAACCAATCTTATGTGCAACATCGCCAGCTTGGTCTATTTGTTCCATCGTTCCCTCCAAAGGTCTGTTCTCAAACTTTTCACCATTTCTGTAGTGACCACCTTCAAAAAAATTGATTTGAGATTTTTCATGACCCCAGGCTTGGCCATGTTGCTTGCACTTAACTTGAGGATATGACAGCGCAACGTCCGCAAATGCATGAATAATCTATCATCAGCTCTTGAAATTTGGACTTCTTGAACTAGAAATGATGTACTCCAAAACTAAGACCTCTAAAGAAAATCAAGCTTCAGCAAAATAATATTCAAAAGTAAACCTCTTGTACATTTAGACAAGTTCTGTACATTATTCACAAATGAATTTCCGCAAATCTTTTACTTGACAGAATCAAGAAAGCTTATCGCAGTGCAATGTCCTTTATCTCTTTTATCTGCATCATGCATCAATGAATGAAGACGTACGCAAGAAACACCACACGGTAAGACTAGGCAAACGTTAGGCTAGGTGTGTAAGTTGAAGCTAACAGTAGACGAAATGCATTAACAGAGTCTAACGTTGAATCGGCTCCAGCTAATTTGAATCCATAAACATCTATATTGGGCAAGGAAAAAGAGGGATTGGAAAAGCATTTAGTTAAAAAACCAAAATAAAATAGACTAAACACACAGACCACAGGCAATGATTAATGAACGTGCAACTAGCTTCACAATGGTCAAAATGGATGTGGCCTGGAGCAACCACTCTAGGCAGGATTTCCTCTTGTGCTGATGCCTCTTCTTCCTCTTCTTCCTCCTCGGAAGTTTCAGATTCGCTGGTATCGGGTAACTTAGTATTCTGTCTGAAATGCCTTGATATCATCCTTCCTTAAAGATGCATTATTCTGCAATTGTAAATGCACATCGTTAGCATTTCTAAGTAGCTACATAGGAGAATAGGATGTCTCTTAAATCAACTTACAAGATAATGCTAGCATGCAAAGGCTTCAAAAGAAGCCGGTGAAAACAATTTTCCAATTCATTTCTAATCAAAATCTTCTATGTTACAATAATCCCAGGAATATTCAGGAGCTGCGAACAAAAAATCGATCAGAATCTCCACATGGTAATCACTCTTGCACGAAAGTATCTTAACACAAGTCGACCCTGAGTTTTATATCCACGGTGGTTGATAAAACCTGGAACGCATGTCATTGTCGTAAACTCATAAGACGCTACTTGCATCATGTCCTAATGGAGGGCTACACGTTGAGATCAATGATGGTGTTCAAATGAAATAATCTACACCCCAAATTAATCACATCTCCCAAGTTGTTACGATGTGTTGTTTTTGAAGCATCAAACGATTGCAAGCTTCGTTCCCACTTTGAATACCTTGCAATATTTGTATAATTTGAACACTTCTTCATTTATTACAAGTTATGCCAGGTTTATTATTATTCTGAGTTCGTAATAGTGAAGACTGGTCTATTTGAGGACGGACACAGCACGTTAGAACTAAAATATCCAGAACACAAATCATTAAGAAGAAGTTAACAAACTGCGACTAAGGTTCCTGCAAGCTTGTTAAGAAGGTTAGACTTGCTATCAGAAGGAAAACCGACAAGCCCAACTCGTGAATTTCCACTATCACGAGCTCCTCAACCTTCAGACTATGGTGGTGCCAAAATTTCCCGTAGCAACTTCGCTAGTTTTGCCTGTACGATAACGACAAATAACGATAAACCCTAAAACTCCATTACTTTTGAAGTAAAGTGCAATTCTTTTAAACCATAATATATATGAACAGAAGTATAAAATTTAATAGAATCACCACCAATAAAACACTAAATTTTAAATTTTTGACAAAACATTGTTGTATTGTAACAAAAATGATTGTAGTACAAAGGACTTTAATTAAAAATAAATTAGAAAATTTCTTAAGAAAATACAAAACTGAGGTAAGTAATAAAAATTAAAAATAAAAAAATAGTGTTAAAGTTGCCTTTACATAAATTAATTCTTTTATTTACTTCATAGGACTATAAATCAGACAAAAAGTAAATTAATAAAAATATAATTTCTATATTTTTAGATAAAAATAAAAGTATCTTTTTAAAAAACAATATAAAATATCTTAGATTGATTTTTCAAAAAGAATCGATCGTAAACTAGGGTTGAAACCAAATGTTGAGACTCAAAATTGTATGTCTACAACATGAGGAAGTTCTTTTATTATTAATCATAGAACAAAGTTAGAAAGTAGACTTGATAGGATTTCTTTAAAAATTTACTTTGAAGGATTTAGGTAGATAATGACCTTATGAGAGTTTTACAAAGTCAAGATTGTTTTGAGTGATTTTCTTTTTGTGTATTAAAAAAAGAAGGGATTTTGATAGATTTCTTGAGTTCTATAGTAAACCTACTTATGATGATTTGCATATTTGAAAATATAATTTTGTTGGATATTTTTTGTAAAATTGAATATAATTTGATAATGAATTTAAAAATAATTGAAATTTAATTAAGTTGTGATCTTACAAACTAACTTTAAAGAGGGTTTATATGATTTTCAACAAGTTGCTAATTGGATTAAAATGATTTTTTTTGTTTGCTAATAGTTGACTTAATTTTCAATATTTGTGAAAAAATTTAAGAGCAAAGGAACAATGTAAAAAGAAGGTATTGATAGTGGAAGGTAACCATCAAGATTAAAAAAACGATGACTACAAATACTTCAAAAAATCAAGAATATTTTTTTTTCCAATTTGTAAGTTTAATTTTCTTCAAATTTTGTATACTTAAAGTCAACTAATAGATTAAATAGTTGAAAAATTGAATTGTAATTAATAGTTAAAATTCTAATGATTGAGCCTTCAAATATATTATAAGTTTATTTTCTGATAGATTTGCATTTGATTAAAATCTTCTGAAATTAAAAAGGTTTATATTAGAATTTATTTATAATTTCTTAGAATTTTTTAGGATTCCATTATGATTTCTTTAGGATTGATTGCATTTTCTTCAAAGCATTATTATGGTTGATAAGAATTATTAGTAGCTTGAAGAACAAGCTAACAATGTGGCCTACAAGTAGAAAACTTGCCTTGTAAGTTAAGGCATATGTCTTACAAAGTCAACACATATTAGAAGTCCTATACAACATCACCAAGTAGCTCCTAATTAGATAGTATATATAGAAGCAAGAATAAAGCCCTCTTCATTCTTGTCAACTTTTTTCTTACTTCTAGTCTAGATTTGAGAGTCTCCAGTTTTCTTGTCTTTTGGCAATAGCCATTCCACTTTTCTTTTAATATACATACTACTTTATTGCTATTTTATCACTTTTCTTTTAACATAGACTTTACAAATTTATACATCTTCTTCCAATTCATGTCCTTCATACTTACTTAGGTTTTTAAAGATTGCAAAGAAGGAATTTTAAAATATCTTATGTATTGTTTTTGGATTATAAATCCAACTTTAAGATAAAATCAATTTGTTCCACAACTAGATGCCTATTACATTCTTATATTAATTTTTATATAATACAACAACATAAAGTGAAATTACTTAATTAAATTAAAATATTATTGTATTGTAACATAGCTATTGGATAGAAGAAAAATGAAAGAATTATATTATAGTAAAAATTATTTTTAAATATAGTAGAAAATTACTTTAAAAATATAAATAAAAGTTAGAAAGGTGTTAAAATAATTTAGTATTAATACCATCTTTTGAAAAAAAATTAAAAAATAAAAGATTTATTTTTTACTTTGCAGGATCATAAATAAGATAAAATAAAGTAGATTAGCAAAAATATTATCATATGCATCTTTAGATAAAAGTAAAAAGTAGCTTTTAACAAAAATTACCTAAAAAAATTTAGATTGATTTTCAAAGAAGATTAATTTTCAAAGAAGGTTGATTAAGAACTAAAGTTGAAACCAAACTTTGAGGCACAAAATTGCATATCTATGTCAAATGTGACAATCTTTTGTTGATTAAAGAATAAGATTGGAGAGCTTTGCAAATTTATGGTTTTTTTGAATGACTTTATTTTTTGTAGGAAAAAAAAATAGTTATATTTTAATAGATTGTGTGAGTTTTATAAGAGATCTATGGATGAGATTTTTTGAATTTGTGAACATAGTTGTGTTGGATTTGTGTTGTGAAATTGAACTCAACTAAATGTTTAAATTAAAAGTAATTAAGATTCAAGTGAGTTAGAATCTTAGCAATTAGATTTTGAAGATCAGTGAAGGTTTTTATAATTAGATTAATCTTTTTGTGTACTAGTGATTGATTTAGTTTTTTTAAAATTTATGCAAAATTTAAAAATAAGCTAATAGTTAAAAGAGAAATATTGACATTGAAAGGTTTACATTGAGGTTAGAAAAGGAGGATGATCAACACCTAAGTAGATTAAGAGCATTTCTTCCTAATCTGTAAGTTTAATTCTCTTCAAACTTTGTATGCTTGTTTTTAACTAGTAAGTTGAAATGCATGAAAAATTTGAATCAAGATCAATTATTAAAGTAAAAATTATTGAAATTTAATTTTTATTCTAAATTTTAATTAGAATTTGATTAAGATTCAATTAAGATTTTTGTAGAGTTTTTATGATTTCATTATAATTTCTTCAAGATTTATTATTATTTTTTTAAGGATTTTTTAAATATTTCTTTAAGATTTAATTGCAATTTTTTTAAAGGATTGTTTAAGGTTTATTTGAAATTTAATATAGTGCAATAGGATTTTTAGGTGGTTCCAAATTGCCATGAGAGTGTTTTTAAACACATTGTGCATTGTTTTCTTTGGATTGTAAATCCAACTTCAAAATTATATTAAATCCTATGAAAATCAAATGCCAAGTGCATTTCTACCTAATTTTCACACAACATGACAATGCACATGAATGAATCTATCAATTGACTTTAAAAAGACCAAAATGGTGAGCAATCGCTGCATTCTTTAGAGTTGTTGCCATCTACATTCACAATAAATTTCATCAACAATCTTTACTTCCATTCATTTCACATCTTGGCTTATAGGTTAGATATAGAAATATTATGCAAAACCCCTCCATAAGACCCTCCTTCACACTCACACAAGCTTAAAAAAACCAACTTGATTCATCCTATATACGTCCTCAACCAAACTCATGGAGATTATTGTTTGTCAACTTAAAATTGATGGTAACTCAGTTCACAAACAACTTCAAACAAAACAAAAAAAAGGGGAAAAAAAAAAGGGAAAAAAAAAAGTATCAAATTCACAAGTGTAGTAAATCTGAGTCACATTGGAAAATAACTGCTCGATTCATAACTCTAATCCACAAACTTGTAGGTATAGGTTGAGGGTCCAGAAACAGGGGGGGACCTCTTGAGCAAGCACCCCCAACGAAATACCTTTCGACGATCGTCCATGCGTCGTCCACTCCGTCGGCGGTAATTCCATTACGACGAACGACGTCGGTCCCACGTTCCGTCCAGCATAGCGTTCTCCGTCGACGATTACCAGGTCGGCCCTTTTGCAAAGCCTCGGGTCTCTGTCTCTCTGTCTTTCTCTCTCACTCTGCGCAATTCATTGGTCTGTCTCGCAACGCAATGGAGTGAGGCCCGTCGCGAAGCTCCCGATCGCGTCACTCGCGAGCCTTCTCTGCAGCATTACTGCACTTCACATTCACAAGGCCAGGGACGGGGATTATCTGTTGCTGCGAGGGAGCTTTGGAGCAACATGTCCAAAGGGTATCACAGTCTCGGCGACGAGATTGTTTCTGGATCTGTGCCGGTACGTGACTCCTTTTCCCAAATTAGGGCAGGTGTTTAAATCATTGCTCCTTGATTGGCTTTAGGTTTGGCTTAAATTGAGGTTCGGTTGCTCTCAATGAATGCTATGTGACACTTAGTTTTTCACTACCGTCGGGGAGCATTAACAGAGAGTGGTGGCGACACTGCGGGAGTGTGTGTAATAATGTTTTGGTAACCTTGAGTTGGCTTCAATAGCGAGCGAATAGGGCAGATCGTGGATAGTTTTGAGAAGATTTGGATTTAATGAGGCCCGGGGGTTTCTTTTGAGGCTGGAGGGTTGTGTGAAGTCCATAATCAAGGATCAGGGTTAGTTGTATGTAACGGAAAATTTTACTGTTCTAAGGCCTCGGATCTGGCACCAGACCTTGACCAATTTCTGGGAATTGCATTGTATGAGAATGTTCAATGCGTAGCCAGAGCTGTAGTCGTCGGTTGCTAATCATCTTTTAGCTCTTCTTTTTTTTTCGTCTTAGTGACCTTTATCACCTTTTCTAGTTCCCGTTAGAGGAATTAAATTGGCCTGGATCCTATCCAATTGTAAACGACACATTTGATGAGCAATTTCTCTGAGGGATGAGAGTGGTAGATAATGACATGCTTATTATCAAGTGAACTCATCCTCTTTTCATTATTTGACAGGTGGCTGCAAGTTCGGACAGAGTGTTGCAGTTTCAAGGTGAGAAAAATATAAAAAAATAAAAGAACTTATGCTCAATCTAAAAGAAATACTTTTCAAACACTCAATTTATCTCGAGTCCTGACCCTATCCGACATCATTGAGAGTTGTGCTTATAAGCTTCTAAACTTGAACTCTTATTTAAGGAAAGAGGTATTATGTATACATGTCGTGCTTCACAATGCGCTAGAAGAGTTGGATTAAAGCTTTCATTTCTTCCACAGCCACTGCAAATTATCATAGCAACGGGAAGCGACGGGAAATAGCTTGTTTGACAGTTCGGTACTAACATGCACGCGTACCGTAACGTGCTTATCAAGTCTTTCTACGGGTGAAACAAGCGAAGATTGGAAAAGCTCCATGTTTTCGCACATAAAAGCCACATATTGAACATCTTGGATCATGTGATCCACATTTCATGAACAAAACATTGTGTAGGAACTCTAGAACTCAGAATATCCAAGCTAGATTCTCTCATGTCACAACCATATGCCCGTCTAAGTAGTAAGTATAAGTATATGAGTGACTTGTTGAGTTACTCTTGGTATACATTCGTAACATAGTAATGCGGTTGGCTTAGATTATTTTTTCCTCCTCTTGCAGAGTCAAATTTACAGACGTTTCCTCCAAGTGACACTCGGGGCAAACTCTCTGGATCCTTTCAGCCGCCTAGAGATGCCGATGGTACGCGGTTCTCAACCCCCTACACGCTCACATGCTCTTGGTGCTATTTTCTGCCATGGCAATGCAAGTTCCCAATGCAGATTGTGCTCTCTTTCAACGTCTTATTGTGGGACGAGCACCTCGAGAAGGGATGAACACGCCCACAAGAAGCTCTTGTAACTATGAAATGTCGAGAATGAGGAGTAACCTGCTGTGTACAATCGATATGGAGGATGCATGAAATAAGCGCATGTGGTAGGGTCCTCGGTGTCTTTAATTCGGTGGATAATGTTGGCATGGGTCATGAAGTTGTGAAGTAGAAGGGGGGCACTTCACCGTCATAGGTCCTGAATGGCTCCCATTCGTGTAGTACATTGCAGTTGCCGTGTTAGGAGGGACCACGGCATTCGACTCCTGCAGTGAGTCGGATTGGTAGGAACGTTGTTGGGTGAGCCGAGGCAGACAACAGCGGCGTATGTGTGGAAGCAGGAGAGAGAATGGAAACGCACGATAGTGGATGAGCGGATGGTGAGCACGCATTAGTGAGGAAGAGATGGTGAATGTGAGTATGAGAACGGTTGGGTTCGGATGTGCGTGGTGGAGTCGGTTGAGGTGGTTGCGTGAGACGTGAGTGGGGGTTGTGTTTCTGACTGCAAATTGATGGTACGAGCAGACTCGTTTTCGAATCCCGGATCTGGAAGTCAAGGGGGAGCGAACGGGTCATCAACGGGTTCGGGGTGGCAGAGTTACTTCAATGCTGTGTCGTATCGACCATACTTCAACGTGGACACTGCGGACGTGGTAGAGCGGATTCGAGATTCGTTGTTTCCGTTCAAGGGAGACTTTGTGGAGAAGACGAGCCACAATCCTGACATGTAAGGGCGAGTGGCATCTTTGGTGTGTATGTGGGTTAGGCAGTGGAGAGGGGAAGCGACGACTGATTGTGCGGACAATGGTGGGGGTGCAGGTATGGGCCATTTTGGATCTGCTCGACGCTGGTGTTCGTAACGGCGGCGCTGGGAAACTTTGCAGCATTTTTATCGGCTCAGTCTGGGTCGTGGCATTACGATGTGAACAAGGTGTCGTGGGCAGCGTTCATGTTCTATGGCTACGTGGCAGTGATACCGCTGGGGCTGTATTTTGTGCTGAAGTACTTGGGCGTTGTGTCGGGCCTGGTGCAGCTGTGGTGCCTGTACGGGTACTCGCTGTTCGTGTTCATTCCAGCCTCGGTAAGCCATCGTAGCTGACGTTTGCGTGTGGAAAGGGAGCGAGGTTGGTGGTTGATGGTTGCAATGCAACAGGATGCGAGGTGTGTTGCGTTGGGGTGTTGTGGGGGTTGGAGGCTGGAGGACGTGCAGGTGTTTGGACGGAGCTGACAAAAGCGTGGTTGATGTGTTGTGGAATGGCAGTTTCTGTGCGTGGTCCCATGGGACATCATGAGGTGGGCGGTGGTGGGAGTGGCGGCGGTGATGTCTGCTGGGTTCCTGGCGATCAACATTCGGTCACATGTGAAGACCGCGAGCGAGCGGTGGTTCCTGATAGTGACCAGCTCAGCAGCACTGCAGCTGGGGTTGGCATTGGTGGTGAAGTTGTATTTTTTCACGTATTTTTATCACGATAGCTTAGTTCACGTGTAGGTGGTAGCGTAGCAGAAGCAGTGGATGTAACGTTAGTAGAGGATTGCGGGTGGTGGATGGTGTGAGGAAGTTGGGAGGACGTGGTTGTCGGGAAGACGTGACGACGACCCCGTAGTATGGGGCGCCCGTGCAGAATGTGGTATTTATGCGCGTTCCGTTTTGGATGAGTGCGCCGCAATGCATAAATTGAGTACGCAGAGGATGCGGATGGATGCAGAGGCTGTGGATGGCGCAGGGCATTGGGTTAGTAAGGCGGAGGGGGTGCTTGTGTGGAGCACAAAGTGGTTGTGCGGCGTGGTCATGTAATTGAGATGCATGTTGGTGGAGTCGGGGATGTGGAGGGAGTTGTGGATTTGGTTTAGTGTGGGGGTGGATGGTTCATGGAGATGGTTGAACGTGCAGCTGTGAGTTGGAAAGGCATGGCAGGTGTACTGATGGCTTGGGTCAAGCGGGTGAGATAGGGATGGTGAGGTCTTGGGAGGAAGACGGTTGTGGACCCATGCAAGGAGTTGGAATGCTAAGGGGCTGCGTTGCGCAGGAAAACTAATGGCATGCTTCTGGGTGCATGTCTTGATCATGGGTTTTGTGTGCACACAGGGCAGGAGTTGTGAGATTCATGAGTAGAGAGGTTGTGATTGTATTGGTTGGTCGCAATGAATTGAAATGTTGGAGTTTAATGTTTGGAAGTAGGTTTCGAGCTGGAGTGGTCAGTTAGTGTAGAGTTTGTGTTGGATATTCACAGCATGGTATGTGTAGTGATATGGCTTTATAAGTGTTTTCTCTGGCACCATTATTCCATAATCACAATCTTGACTTATCCGTTGAATAGTTTACACTGTGCTTCTGATAGGATTTTTCAGATCTTTTTCTTAGGATGATGAGGTTGGGTTTTGGAGAAGTCATTTGGTTACTATATATATATTTATGTATACATCAACTTAAGTTAATTCTTTAAACACGTAATGATAGAAAACGTTTTTTATATCCTCATTTCTTCCACATGATACTGATAAATATTTAGTTTTCGCGAATGAAAGTAGATGTTTTCAAAACCCCAAGTACAATTCTGTTGTTTTTTGTAGTTTGCAATTGTTGCGTATTTTTTATTTCATTATTCAGGTTTGTACATTATTTGACGCATGTTTTTGCATATTGACTTAAATTACAGTCATACGATCCCTAAGATTATTCCCTATCGATTTTTTGAGCCGCCATCTAAGTGAAATTATTTTTCACTGATGAGGATTTGCAATTTGTTATTAAATACTATTGTGTTAATGGTAAAACTGAAACATAAAAAAAATATGCCGAAAATGAAATATACGTGCTTTTTATTCAGAATCGATAGGTTAATCCTATCAGAAGCAGTGTAAACAGCGTGATATATGGATGCAAATGTTGCGTACACAGTGTCACAACCTCTCTACTCATGAATCTCACAACTCCTGCCCTGTGTGCACACAAAACCCATGATCAAGACATGCACCCAGAAGCATGCCATTAGTTTTCCTGCGCAACGCAGCCCCTTAGCATTCCAACTCCTTGCATGGGTCCACAACCGTCTTCCTCCCAAGACCTCACCATCCCTATCTCACCCGCTTGACCCAAGCCATCAGTACACCTGCCATGCCTTTCCAACTCACAGCTGCACGTTCAACCATCTCCATGAACCATCCACCCCCACACTAAACCAAATCCACAACTCCCTCCACATCCCCGACTCCACCAACATGCATCTCAATTACATGACCACGCCGCACAACCACTTTGTGCTCCACACAAGCACCCCCTCCGCCTTACTAACCCAATGCCCTGCGCCATCCACAGCCTCTGCATCCATCCGCATCCTCTGCGTACTCAATTTATGCATTGCGGCGCACTCATCCAAAACGGAACGCGCATAAATACCACATTCTGCACGGGCGCCCCATACTACGGGGTCGTCGTCACGTCTTCCCGACAACCACGTCCTCCCAACTTCCTCACACCATCCACCACCCGCAATCCTCTACTAACGTTACATCCACTGCTTCTGCTACGCTACCACCTACACGTGAACTAAGCTATCGTGATAAAAATACGTGAAAAAATACAACTTCACCACCAATGCCAACCCCAGCTGCAGTGCTGCTGAGCTGGTCACTATCAGGAACCACCGCTCGCTCGCGGTCTTCACATGTGACCGAATGTTGATCGCCAGGAACCCAGCAGACATCACCGCCGCCACTCCCACCACCGCCCACCTCATGATGTCCCATGGGACCACGCACAGAAACTGCCATTCCACAACACATCAACCACGCTTTTGTCAGCTCCGTCCAAACACCTGCACGTCCTCCAGCCTCCAACCCCCACAACACCCCAACGCAACACACCTCGCATCCTGTTGCATTGCAACCATCAACCACCAACCTCGCTCCCTTTCCACACGCAAACGTCAGCTACGATGGCTTACCGAGGCTGGAATGAACACGAACAGCGAGTACCCGTACAGGCACCACAGCTGCACCAGGCCCGACACAACGCCCAAGTACTTCAGCACAAAATACAGCCCCAGCGGTATCACTGCCACGTAGCCATAGAACATGAACGCTGCCCACGACACCTTGTTCACATCGTAATGCCACGACCCAGACTGAGCCGATAAAAATGCTGCAAAGTTTCCCAGCGCCGCCGTTACGAACACCAGCGTCGAGCAGATCCAAAATGGCCCATACCTGCACCCCCACCATTGTCCGCACAATCAGTCGTCGCTTCCCCTCTCCACTGCCTAACCCACATACACACCAAAGATGCCACTCGCCCTTACATGTCAGGATTGTGGCTCGTCTTCTCCACAAAGTCTCCCTTGAACGGAAACAACGAATCTCGAATCCGCTCTACCACGTCCGCAGTGTCCACGTTGAAGTATGGTCGATACGACACAGCATTGAAGTAACTCTGCCACCCCGAACCCGTTGATGACCCGTTCGCTCCCCCTTGACTTCCAGATCCGGGATTCGAAAACGAGTCTGCTCGTACCATCAATTTGCAGTCAGAAACACAACCCCCACTCACGTCTCACGCAACCACCTCAACCGACTCCACCACGCACATCCGAACCCAACCGTTCTCATACTCACATTCACCATCTCTTCCTCACTAATGCGTGCTCACCATCCGCTCATCCACTATCGTGCGTTTCCATTCTCTCTCCTGCTTCCACACATACGCCGCTGTTGTCTGCCTCGGCTCACCCAACAACGTTCCTACCAATCCGACTCACTGCAGGAGTCGAATGCCGTGGTCCCTCCTAACACGGCAACTGCAATGTACTACACGAATGGGAGCCATTCAGGACCTATGACGGTGAAGTGCCCCCCTTCTACTTCACAACTTCATGACCCATGCCAACATTATCCACCGAATTAAAGACACCGAGGACCCTACCACATGCGCTTATTTCATGCATCCTCCATATCGATTGTACACAGCAGGTTACTCCTCATTCTCGACATTTCATAGTTACAAGAGCTTCTTGTGGGCGTGTTCATCCCTTCTCGAGGTGCTCGTCCCACAATAAGACGTTGAAAGAGAGCACAATCTGCATTGGGAACTTGCATTGCCATGGCAGAAAATAGCACCAAGAGCATGTGAGCGTGTAGGGGGTTGAGAACCGCGTACCATCGGCATCTCTAGGCGGCTGAAAGGATCCAGAGAGTTTGCCCCGAGTGTCACTTGGAGGAAACGTCTGTAAATTTGACTCTGCAAGAGGAGGAAAAAATAATCTAAGCCAACCGCATTACTATGTTACGAATGTATACCAAGAGTAACTCAACAAGTCACTCATATACTTATACTTACTACTTAGACGGGCATATGGTTGTGACATGAGAGAATCTAGCTTGGATATTCTGAGTTCTAGAGTTCCTACACAATGTTTTGTTCATGAAATGTGGATCACATGATCCAAGATGTTCAATATGTGGCTTTTATGTGCGAAAACATGGAGCTTTTCCAATCTTCGCTTGTTTCACCCGTAGAAAGACTTGATAAGCACGTTACGGTACGCGTGCATGTTAGTACCGAACTGTCAAACAAGCTATTTCCCGTCGCTTCCCGTTGCTATGATAATTTGCAGTGGCTGTGGAAGAAATGAAAGCTTTAATCCAACTCTTCTAGCGCATTGTGAAGCACGACATGTATACATAATACCTCTTTCCTTAAATAAGAGTTCAAGTTTAGAAGCTTATAAGCACAACTCTCAATGATGTCGGATAGGGTCAGGACTCGAGATAAATTGAGTGTTTGAAAAGTATTTCTTTTAGATTGAGCATAAGTTCTTTTATTTTTTTATATTTTTCTCACCTTGAAACTGCAACACTCTGTCCGAACTTGCAGCCACCTGTCAAATAATGAAAAGAGGATGAGTTCACTTGATAATAAGCATGTCATTATCTACCACTCTCATCCCTCAGAGAAATTGCTCATCAAATGTGTCGTTTACAATTGGATAGGATCCAGGCCAATTTAATTCCTCTAACGGGAACTAGAAAAGGTGATAAAGGTCACTAAGACGAAAAAAAAAGAAGAGCTAAAAGATGATTAGCAACCGACGACTACAGCTCTGGCTACGCATTGAACATTCTCATACAATGCAATTCCCAGAAATTGGTCAAGGTCTGGTGCCAGATCCGAGGCCTTAGAACAGTAAAATTTTCCGTTACATACAACTAACCCTGATCCTTGATTATGGACTTCACACAACCCTCCAGCCTCAAAAGAAACCCCCGGGCCTCATTAAATCCAAATCTTCTCAAAACTATCCACGATCTGCCCTATTCGCTCGCTATTGAAGCCAACTCAAGGTTACCAAAACATTATTACACACACTCCCGCAGTGTCGCCACCACTCTCTGTTAATGCTCCCCGACGGTAGTGAAAAACTAAGTGTCACATAGCATTCATTGAGAGCAACCGAACCTCAATTTAAGCCAAACCTAAAGCCAATCAAGGAGCAATGATTTAAACACCTGCCCTAATTTGGGAAAAGGAGTCACGTACCGGCACAGATCCAGAAACAATCTCGTCGCCGAGACTGTGATACCCTTTGGACATGTTGCTCCAAAGCTCCCTCGCAGCAACAGATAATCCCCGTCCCTGGCCTTGTGAATGTGAAGTGCAGTAATGCTGCAGAGAAGGCTCGCGAGTGACGCGATCGGGAGCTTCGCGACGGGCCTCACTCCATTGCGTTGCGAGACAGACCAATGAATTGCGCAGAGTGAGAGAGAAAGACAGAGAGACAGAGACCCGAGGCTTTGCAAAAGGGCCGACCTGGTAATCGTCGACGGAGAACGCTATGCTGGACGGAACGTGGGACCGACGTCGTTCGTCGTAATGGAATTACCGCCGACGGAGTGGACGACGCATGGACGATCGTCGAAAGGTATTTCGTTGGGGGTGCTTGCTCAAGAGGTCCCCCCCTGTTTCTGGACCCTCAACCTATACCTACAAGTTTGTGGATTAGAGTTATGAATCGAGCAGTTATTTTCCAATGTGACTCAGATTTACTACACTTGTGAATTTGATACTTTTTTTTTTCCCTTTTTTTTTTCCCCTTTTTTTTGTTTTGTTTGAAGTTGTTTGTGAACTGAGTTACCATCAATTTTAAGTTGACAAACAATAATCTCCATGAGTTTGGTTGAGGACGTATATAGGATGAATCAAGTTGGTTTTTTTAAGCTTGTGTGAGTGTGAAGGAGGGTCTTATGGAGGGGTTTTGCATAATATTTCTATATCTAACCTATAAGCCAAGATGTGAAATGAATGGAAGTAAAGATTGTTGATGAAA